GGTGCATCGTTGGTAAGAACGGTGTACGTCCTGATCCCGAAAAGATCAAGGCGGTCACCGACTGGCCTGTGCCGGTCGATGTCAAAGGTCTTCGAAAATTCCTTGGGCTAGCGGCGTATTTGCAAAAGTATTCACGCAATTACGCCGAGATGACTGTGCTCCTCTCTCGTTTGTTGAAAAAGAACGAGAGGTGGTTATGGAATGCTGAATGTCAACGCTCCTTTGAGGGTATCAAGCAGAGCTTGATACAATCCCCAGTCCTAGCAATAGCCGATCAGGACAGGCCATTTCATGTGGTCTGTGATGCCAGCGATTTCGCAATCGGCTGTGCATTAATGCAGTACGACCTTGAAGGCGTTGAACGCGTCGTCTGCTATCAGTCGCGTCAGCTGCAACCAGCTGAGCGGAACTATCCAGTGCATGACAAGGAACTCCTTGCCATGAAGTATGCACTCGCGAAGTTCAGAGTCTATCTATTAGGAGATAGACCCTTCGTTGTTTACACTGACCATGCGTCATTACGCACGGCAGTGAACAGCCCGCACCTTTCACAACGAATGGCGCGGTGGTTGTCATTCTTTGCAGAATACAACTTTACGGTCGAGTACAGACCAGGACGTCTTAATGTCGTCGCTGATGCACTCTCACGTCGTCCCGACTTTGAAACAGTCGCGAAACCCAACAGTGAGACAGTCACTGTTGCGGTTATGACGTCCTCAGTCCCATCTACAACGTTGTATGATGATGTGAGGCGGGCATACGCCCAAGATGGTGAGATAGTGAAGTTGTTGACACATCTCTCCCAACCATCTCGAGAATCGTTGAAACGATTGTCGTCTGCGTATCGATCTGCATCAGATCGATACACTGCTCGTAACGGTTTACTGTATTATACAGCCGTTTCTGGTGACACACCACGTGTTGTCATTCCAGATGATACTGATCTGCGTTTGCGGATCATGTTCGAGTATCACGATGCTCCTATAGGAGGACATCGTGGCCGAGAGAAAACATATCTCACGGTAAGTCGAGACTTTTACTGGCCCCGCCAGTATCAGTTTGTGCGAAAGTATGTTCGCGCATGCGAAGTCTGTCAACGAGTGAAGTCAAGTCCTTCACTGCGTGCACCTTTACAGCCTCTACCGGTTCCGGCTGAGTGCTGGGAATCCATCTCAATGGATTTCGTCTTCGGGTTACCCAAAGCCGCACGCGGGAATACGGGTATTCTTGTATTTGTTGACAGATTCAGCAAAATGGTACACCTTGTGGCTGTACCAGAGACAATCACGGCAAGTGGCTGTGCTTGTGTCTTTATTGACACCATCTTCCGACTTCATGGGTCGCCCCGTGAACTCGTATCAGACAGAGATCCACGATTCACTGCTGATTTCTGGCGTTCCGTGTTCAAATCACTCGGAACGCGCTTGAAGATGTCAACATCTGATCATCCAGAGTCAGATGGTCAGACGGAACGTGCCAATCGTGTCCTTGAAGAGATACTTCGAGGATACGTACACTCCTTTAAGAGTTAGAGTGAGTTTTTGCCAATGGTAGAGTTTGCCATCAACAACTCGGTGCATGCGTCCACGACACATACACCGTTTTACGTGAATGGCTTGCGCCATCCGCGTGTACCCACCTTACTAGAGTGTGACTCTGGTTTAAGGGGGGGAGGGACTCGCGCGAGCAAAAACCGAATTGGTTCACGCTCATCACGCTCTGACGAAGAAGTCATTGCGTTTGATGCCGATATCGATAACATCGATATCGAAGAAGATGATGCCAGTGAGAGTGCGGAAGCCCTCACTGAAGAAAAGGTTGATGTTGCTGCAGTGCGCTCACAGCGCACTGAAGCCAACGAGTCAGCAGATGAGTTCATACTGGCTCGTGAAACGGTAGTCCGTTTTGTGCAAGACTCCATCGCCGAAGCGGTGGATAAGCAAAAGCAAAACGCTGACAAGAATGGAAGGTCAAACACTCTTTTATTTAATAAAGGTGACTTAGTCCTACTGTCTACGGTTAATCTACCAAAGCATGTAGTGACTAACTTGGGTAGCAGTAAACTACTACCCAAGTACATTGGCCCATTTCGTGTATTGCACCGCCTAGGCAATGCATACACGATCGAGTTACCACGTAAGATGCGAACGCATCCCACGTTTTACGTTGGTCGGCTTAAGCCGTACCATCAGTACGCTGCTTCTTCCGATGACGAACGCCCTTGCGCTCAAGCATCTCGCAGAGAGCCTTGTGCTCCCGATGGTGGGCATCAACAAGGGTCTGAAGAGCAGCTATCTCATCCCGAGACCGATCAACATTCCCACGAGCTACCCTTAGCTCGTCACGAAGATATGTCAGAGATCTCTCGTTCTCAAGCTGAGCAAAGGCAAACTCAGCTCGATGCTTCGAGGCAGTGTCCGCCATTTGGAGACGCCTATTCCGCTCATGTTCGAGATCGTCGCGTAACCCTTGCGTTACGCGATCAAAGAAGCTCTCGGGTACACACCGATCCACATGATCGTGTGGAGAGCGTCTTTCCTCCTCCTCCACCTCCATTAGAGGACTCTCGCGGTGGCCAGCGCTATCTAGTTGAGCAGCTGTTGAACCACCGCGACGTGAACGGACGTCGGACGAGTTATCTCGTCCGGTGGCGCGGCTATCCCCCGTCCTGGGATTCTTGGGAGCCCCGCTCCCAACTGATGGTTGACGTACTGGGTCTGGTTGAGCAGTACGACGCGGCACATCCTTTGCCGCAGAAGGACCGCCGGAGAAAGTCTTCCCGGCACGGTCGTAAAGGGATTTCAGGTTGTCAATCCCTTCGTACATCTCAGTAGAGACACGTACGCGCCACCACGGGCTGGTAAGGAGGTAAGCCTCCTTAGGTGCTCGTGCAAAGTTGTTCACACAACATGGGCACGAGTCTTCCCAAGAGAGGCAAAGTAATCCTTTCTCCCTTGACAGACGATGCAGCTTGTAGCGTGCACCTGTCGGGGTTCGCTTTTCAAACTTATCACGAGCTTTGATAAGTTTCTCGTTCCAAGCGTCACGACCTACATCCTCAAGGTTATGGATGTAGGCGTTCCACGCCTGAAGTAGTGAGGGACCATCACGTTTGTGATTCCCACTGTACCATCGATGTCTAAAGAAAGCATCGATGAAGAAATCATGTTCAGCGCGATAGTTTTTCGCGCTGGGGTCAAGGTGATGGATCCTTGACGAATCAAACAACCGTGTTCGATAACGATCACTCGTCGTCGCCGACAAGTGATCCATGACGGATTTTTGAGGCATCCATGCCTTCTTCTCAGGAGCGAGACGCAACACACTGCGGTCCCGCTCTTCCTGCGATGTGCCGACAGAAGTACTGGCACCTCGTTGCGAAGTGGTGTCCATAGGAGAACCGACACCACTGTTAGCGCCTGAGTCTCGCGATCTCGAGCGCCTTCGCTTCGGCGATGGTTCATCTGATTCATCAGATGAACCAAAGATGCTGCGACGCAAAGCATCGTCCATGCCACGCTTGGCAGGCGGCTTAAATTCAATCGCCGTCGATACGGATCCGTCATCCGTATCAGGAGAGTACGAGACACCGAGCTCGTACTCTGTGAAGACACGAGTGTCCTCATGACCAGCGCCTGCATCACCAAGTGACACAGGCTGAGTCGCTTCAGCAACCGATGAGACATCAGTTGCTGTTGTTTCTGCTTCGGCGTCCGCACAGAGACGTGCAGACGCGCTCTCGGCGGCCTTGCTCGCGCATCGCATGGGCTTGTTTACCATGCGATGAGATGTTGGAAAGTGGACTCGGACCAACAAGTGCAAACCCTGTCCCAAATGATTTGGGACGAGTATCCATTTAGTCAATCAGTCACTAAAGTGACTGATGGTTAAGGGGGGGTGATGTAACGGGGTGAATCGTTACATAACAATTTATAAGAAATTGTTAATAGAATATAACTATAAGAGTTATATTCTCAGAATATTGTCATAAGGACAAATATTCTGTAGCACTTACGAGTAGTTCCTAATTGGTTGATATAGGCCATTATATCAACCAACGAAGACGCGCCACGACAGACGCACGCAATGAGTGGTGAGCAGATAATCAATTTACACATTTGTACTTAGACATAGTTAGATGAAGATAAATAGTGATTTATTGCAGACATTAACTATACTAAATACAGTTCTACTTTTTACTCTAACCAAGTACTCGCTTCTTCCTACCGTCTTCCTCTGCACGTACCAGTGTACGTGAAGTTACGAGGCACCGCCTTATTCTGTCATCAGAATAAGTAGCTTGTACTGTCACCAGTACAAGATTCAGGGTGCCCCGTTACAAAAGAGGTCTAAGCAGACATTAGCTCCACAACCTTCTTCGTCTAAGGCCCCGAGCAGTATCGACGGCGGGTCGATCAATCGCTTCCCCCCAAGAAGGACAAAACCGTTAGGGAGCAGACCCATCCTCCGTATCACGACGTCTGTAACGGGGCATTCTTTTCTTGGGGTGCCACGAAACTTAACGTACACTTGTACGTGCACGGGAAGATAATTTATTTAAAATGCTCGTTTAAGCAGAGGTAAAACGAGAACTGTATTTAATACATATAAGCTATCAATAAAAGTTTAATTTTTTATCCAACTATATCAAACTGCGTCGTCGTATGACGACGGCCTGCTCACCCCCATTGCGCGCGTCTAGCAGCTATTGGTGGTAATTTATGGTCGATACGTCTTTATCAACCAGTCTTTAGGCAGAGCATAACTATCATCTACAAAGGGATAATATTGGAAGGATATTGTCATGCTAGACAATACCCCCTTTGACATTATTTGATAACAATATCATATAACGGGCTACCCCTTTACATCACCCCCCCCTTAACCGTCAATCACCCGCTGATTGACTGGAATTGATTAGGACTGGGTGACCACCCATGGATCACTCTGGGAAAGAGAGCACTTGTTGGTCAAATTCCACTCATTTGCCAATCCAACGCATGGTTTCGAAATTCATGCGAGTTGCTACTGCAGCAACGAGAGAAGCGGCTGCACGCATGCGTGCAGCCGGAGACAGTTTTTCTCATGCCTCAGCGGCAGGTGATTCGTCACCTGTTGTTGTGAACAGTCCACGTGGTGAGTCACCACGTGCGACAGGAACATCCACTGCGTCTGCAGCGGGTAGTGCGAATCGCCATGCAGATGAGTATGAGATAGAGATTATCGATCCTGGCGAGTCGTATGATGCTTTCGAATTAAAGGCGACACCACACGCCTCCGGGTCATCCGGGGCGGACACTTCAAGAGCCAGTTTGACAGGCTCTGGCGAACTTTGCGGCATCATGCTCGAGATCTTCGAACCGAGCGATTGTTCCGACGAATCGTTGCCTCACGCAAGTTCATCCAACGATAGGACGCGTGGTGGTGGTGGTGATGCGTCTAAACATCACCATGAGCGAAGTAACACGAGGGATCGAGCTGCTACTGGTGTCAGTGCTCATGCTGACACCAATCAAGAGGCCAGGGACCGAAATGTCCTGCGCCACGCTCCACAAGTGGAGTCTCTATAGATGCCGCCATCCAGAGAGTTGAACCGGTTGGCCAGCACGACTACCAAACGGGATCGAATCCCGTTATTCGATTGCAAGAAGATTCGCCCTCCTGATTCCAGCACGGAAAATATCCGTGCCGAGGAAGCGTTCTTCACCGATGTGTTCTTCAAACATCGGTGGTGTAATGGCAACCGTCGTCGTGACGGTAAAGCCTTGGAGCAAGGACGGAATACCTTCATCCTCAACATCGAATTGCATTTGCCGTGAGGCCGCCCCGGGTAAACTTGATGCAGCTCGCATCAGATTTAAAATCGTAACCCAGTCGGGGTGCGATACAAGTTGCACCGACTGTCAAGAGAGGCAGAGCTGCCCTGTCTCTCGTGGAGCGACCCATGTCCAATTGCCTGGACAACTCGGGTAGTGCCCTTACGGAGGCCTACCTCCCTAATGACCCTCACTGAAGGGCGCGCTTTTCTTCTGAGATGGCCTTAGTGATTGACACTTTGCAATCCCTTTATTCGCGTTCGAGGAGGTCGTTTCCGACGGCCCTTCTTCGAACGCAGCGGGTGGGTCTCGTCATATTGCTCGAAGAGACCCAGAACAGCAGCGATCAGCTAGGCACGAGGCTCCCAGCTGTCCCAAGTCAGTGGATAGCCACGCCAGCGGATGAGTTAACTCGTCCCGACACCATTCACGTCGCGGTGGTTCAAGATACGCTCCACTAGAGAGCGTTGACCACCTCCAGAATCCACCAAAGGATGTGGTGGTGGCGGGAACGCCTGATCCGGCTCATGTGTCGGATCAGCTTGATGTTCAGGAACTGAACCGTGTAAAGAAAGAGTTACACGATGATCTGCTTCACGAGCGGACTCGGCGTTACGAGCTCCATGATCTCGTGAAGGATGATTACAAGTCCTTAGCGCAACAATCGTTCGAACGATCGCGCCGTGTTTGCGTTCGCGCAACTTAAGAACGAACCTTCGATTTGCTGTCTTCGTTACGACGTAATTGTAGCTCGTTAGGACATCGCTCAACTGCGTGAGCAGGTTGCTTTTCTAGTCAACCAGACTGAATCATTGAAACGGGACCACGCGAGGGTGGTCTCGGCTCTTGACCGCGGAGGTGTTCTTCACCTCTCGAAGCAGGCTCGTAGTAATAGTACGGGCGGAGACGTCCAACGTATAACGTAGGATGCTTCGCATCTTAAGGGGCAGTTCAATCGTGTATGCGTTGCCCATACGGCGCAACACACGAAATAAACCGATATACTTGGGCAGTAGTTATTGCCGCCCACGTTCGTCACTGCGTGTTTCGGTAGATTTACTGTAGACGGTAAAACTAAATCCTCTTCGTTGAATGAAAGAACGTTTGCTCTTCCATGTTTGTCCGCATTTCTTTTCTGTCAATCCACTGCATCTGCAATAGAGTCTTGAACGAAGCGGACAACCGCTTCGCGAGTCAGCGGAAATTCTTCTGCTGATTCATCCCTGTTAACAATAGTTCGCTTCGTGTGCACTGCTGAAAGTACGTTGTCTTCACCGGTGAGGGCGTCATTGTCCTCACTGTGGGTGTCGTTGGCGATGCTGAGTATACCATCATAGTCGTCATTATCATCGATGTCGATCGCATCGACATTGGCAATATCACGTCGACACCATTTTCGACGGATCATGAGCAAGAGCCGGATCGGTTTTTGTTCGAGCGACTCCCCCCACTCGTTAGACTAGAGTCACACTTTAAAAAGGCGGGTAAACGTGGATGGCATAGGACATTTACGAAGAACGGTGTATGCGAAGTAGACGCATGCACCAGGATGTTGATGGCAAATTCCGCCATTGGCAAGAACTCACTTCAACTCGTAAACGAGTGGACATACCCTCGAAGTATCTCTTCGAGGACGCGGTCTGACCACCTAGTTTAAAATGGTAAAAAAAACTGACACCTTCAAACGTGTTCCGAGTGAACGGAACACGGATTGCCAGAACTCCGCGGTGAAGCGGGGGTCCCTGTCAGTCACGAGTTCACGGGGCAACCCATGAAGTCGGAAGATCGTATCGATGATGACACGAGCACAGCCCTGGGCTGTGATGGACTCCAGTACAGCAACAAGATGTACCATCTTGCTGAACGGATTAACAAACACAAGAATACCAGTTTTCTTGTGAGCGTCTTTGAGAAAACCAAAGACGAAGTCCATCCATATGGACTGCCAGCACTCTCCCAGAATCGGTAGAAGCTGCAAGGGTGCGCGGGATGAAGGACTAGGCTTCACTCGCTAGAAAACCTCGCAAGCACCAGCATACTTGCGCATTATTTCACACTAGAGATGCCAGTAGAAGTCACGTCTTACCGTGGGGTAAGTACTTTCTCTACCGCGATGCCCACTAGTCGGGGCATCGTGACACTCATACATGATGCGTAATCGCAAATTATCATGAGCGGGAACGACGACACGAGGTGTGTCTCCGTTGATTGCTGTACAGTACAGAAGTCCATCACGAACCGAATACCGTTCGGTTGAAGAGTGGTATTGAGACGACAAGCTTTTCAAAGCTTGACTGCATGGATTAGACACGTTGTCCATCAACCCCAGAAGAGGCTCATCTTCCTCGTAAGCTTTTCGCACGTCGTCGAGCAGGTTGGACGACGAAACACTCACTGATAGTGCAGCAACAGTGGGATCACCCCCCTACCGTTAGTTGGGCAGTCGGCTCGAAATCGGGGCCGACGTGAAAGAGCTTCAGCGACGACATTGAGTCGTCCTGGTTTATAGTCGACGGAGAAGTTTTACTCCGCAAAGAAAGCCAGCCACCTCGACATTCGTTGCGAGATGTGTGGACTGTTTATGGCCGTTCGTAATGACGCATGGTCGGTATAAACGATGAAGGGCCTATCTCCTAAGAGATATATCCGGAACTTGGCCAGTGTAAATTTCATGGCAAGGAGTTCCTTGTCATGCATAGGGTAATTATGCTCAGCTGCTTACAGGTGACGCGATTGATAACAGACGACGTGCTTAACGCCGTCTGCGTCGTACTGCATTAACGCACAGCCGATCGCAAAATCGCTGGCGTAAAAAAAAGACCACATGAAATGGTCTGTCCTGGTCCGCAATCGCCAACACTGGCGATTGTAATAAGCTTTTCTTGATTCCTTCAAAGGAGAGCTGACACTAAGCCCTTATGACCACCTCTCATTTTTCTTTAACAGACGAGAGAGATGTACAGTCATCTAGGCGTAGTTGCGCGAGTACTTATGCAAGTACGCCGCCAAGCCAAGGAACTTTCGGAGTCCCTTGATGTCGATTGGTACAGGCCAGTCGCTAATCGCCTTGATCTTTTCCGTAACAAGGCGCACGCCGTTTTCATTCGCGATACATCCAAGAAGTGGTATTTCGCTCGCTGCGAAGATGCACTTCGTGAGGTTCGCGAACAACTTGTGATCTCGAATAAGTGTAAGAAACTTCCGGACGTGGATTGTATGAACCTCCACGTCCATCTTTCCATCCACAGCCAGGCTATGGACGAAGATTTCGTCAAAGTAACTAAATACAAAATCCCGCACCGATCGCAACCGATTCGTAACGCATTCGTTGAACGCTGCAGGGGCGTTACTTAGCCCTTGTGGCATCACTAGCCACTTCCAGAGCATACGAATTGGGTGCTCACTGCTGTGTACAGGATGTCCCGTTCACGCATGAGGATCTGATAGAATCCATCCATCAGAACCATGGACGAAAAGATGGTACTCTTTGACATACCATCAATAATTACGTCCTTCCTTGGTATCGGCGTCTGAGCCGGTACCGTTGCAGCGTTCAACCTGTTGAACGCGTGCACTATCCGCCACCCTCCTGTGATCTTTCGCCAGCAGAAGGTCGGAGAGTTGTGTGGGGATGTTGATTCCCTCACATGACCAGCCGCCGGTGGAGTGGCAAACGCTCATTTTATGAGTCGATCCCAACTCTCCACTGGCGTCTGGACGACCGACTAACGGAGGGTTCCTCCGATTCCGTGTCCTTCATGTATTTGCTCACCTTGTGTACCCGTCGGTAGGGCGGGTTGCATTCTTCCATGTAGACTCGTTTCGAAGGAAAACTTGACCGTGTTGGAGATGGGGTTGTGATCGTGCGGAAATTCTCACGCGATCACGGGGGTACTGATATAAGTTACCCTGGGGTACTGAAATAAGTTACCCTGATCTCAACGAGATCGCCTCGGCTACTATGTGGTTGCTTGATTCGCGAGCCTTCTGACCACTTGAGCCGTATCGCGATCTTGCGCCTTGTCTTTACGTGTCTTGCTGCGTCCGATCGCAGTTGATGTTGCTTGAGAGTTCTTGAACACACCTGGCCAAAACAATCCAGGTGTGACACTTGCGTAGACGTATAGCGCGACTCTTTATTCGACGGGGGCCAAAGATCCTACCCGGAAGATACAACGTGTGCCTTGTGAAGTAAATTGAACTCTGTTTAATATCAACCAGCCAACCTAAACCCTACCCCTATGCCTATCCGTAGACCCTAACCAGATACCATGTGTTACCTTTCCAGGAAGATCGTCCCCTCGCATTTGTGTGGTCCACACCCAGTATATCAGCAGTTGTATCTTCTTGTGGCCCACCCAAGATATCCCCATGATCCTACTAGCGGATCGCAGCTGATATCGAACTTGAGATCCTGGGTTCGGATCGTGATCCTACTAGCGGATCGTGATCCTACTAGCGGATCGTGATCCTACTAGCGGATCATAGCTGATATCGGACTTGCGATCCTGGGTTAGGATGGCGGTCTTCCCTTGAGATGGAGGGTCTTGTCTTGCCATGTCTCACGACGGATTGCGTAATCAAAACGAGAGTGACCACACTATAAGCTCGTCCCAGGCTGGACGATCCTGCTCACTTGGGGTTTGGGTAAGCTATTGCCAGCTACCCGTCCCATCTTGTATCCACCAATCATAGCATTCTTGGATTAACTGAAGCGTGCGACCCGTGCGATCGCTGATCCAAGTCCCCCAATAGAAATTCCCTTAAGACCTCTTTACAACAAAAGACTCCCAAGATTGAGACGTGTATCGCTCAATCCGAGTTTATCCGTCGAGGACACTCTTGTCCATTGATGAAAAACTGAGAACCCGTTCGTTCTCAGTAAACACTTATGCCGACCGAATATCGGCGACGTACTCATACTCTGTGACGAGTACGCAGATCTGTCTAATCTTTTCACTACGCAGGTCTTGCAAGAATCTCTTAGATTCTAGCGTTGGCAACTTGATTACCTCCGAATCTGACTTCGGGGGTGTAACCAGATCAAGTGTATAAGTGCCTACACTTGACCCGTTATTCACCAAGTCATTCAATGTCTCGGTGATTCCCTGGGAAAACACATCCGCAGGTGGTTGGGGATCCGCACCCTCAACATAACTCTCTCGGAAGTTATCACTTTCAGAAACGTTGGAACTATCTACAAATACGTGTGCTGACTGGGGGGATACAGCCACAGTCACGTCCTCTTCGATCGACTATCTGTTAGTCGATCTTGCTTCAACGTGCTGTTCATCTCGAACAACACTGATCTCTCTTCTTGGATGCACCCTTCTTGGTGTGCATCCGTGTTCCAGTCCACTCGATTTCTTCGAGTGGTGAACCTTCGGCGCAGCCTGTGTCTGTACACAGGTGCTGGAATCTGGTTCTTCAGTGTAGTGGCCTTCTACACTGTGATCTTGTGCAGTCGTACTAACGAGCGTACCACAAGTGAGGCCATCGCACTCACTCGTCGTACATCCACACACTTGTGAACGCCCCAAGACGTTCAACAGATGGCCATCTGATGAACAAACGGCAGACATCTTCACGGATCGATGCTGCCAGCTGACCCACGGCTGGTATTTTCTAAGCCATGGCAGACCGAGGATAACATCAAATTTGTCATCCAAATCTAGTACGATGAAGTCATCATCGTACTGCTTTCCTTCTAGCGTGTAGTGGATTTTCACTACACGTTTGTTCACTGTTACAGATGTGCCTGTAACAAGGCACACCGTCATCCTCGATGGAGGGAACTCTCGCTCAACATAGTTGAGACTACTATCCCTTAGCGACTGGATTCGGATGAAACTGTTCGACGCGCCACAGTCAACTAAGGCTCGAAGTGACATTCCACTTTTCACTTCGATCGTCAAAGCGATGAGCGACACATCATCACTAGGGGCAGTACCACACAGAGACTGTGTGTTAGGAGAAATCTTTGTCAAGAGTCCAGCGAATTATCTTGACGTTGCTGTATCAGCAGGGTGCTCCGCCTTTACTGACTCTGACCGTTTTTTGGCGGTCCGACTTGCTGTCGCGGCTTAGCGACATGGTCGGGCCCGCGCCTTGGACCATTTCTCGGCCAACGGCGGTCAACACGTCCTGTCTTAGGACGCGATGCGGTGCTTGGGACACTACATTAATGAGCGCAGTGTCCGATCTTCTGACAGCGATAGCATCTTTGCGATCGCTTGTGACTCAGAGAGCGAGAATTTTCGCTATCGATGTAACAGAGATCTATCAGTTCGGGACGTCCTGTTTCCTGTCGTCTCGTCGGACGATAGTTCGACGAGTCATATTAAGACTTTTCCAGGCTGAGGTCTTCTTGTTCCGCATACGATATCGCTTTTTCTAGCGTATGAAAGTCCTCCCGGAGCATGTAGGTCTTCACCGGCCTATCTTAAAGGCCATAGATGAGCACGTTGATGAGCGTGTACTTATCAACAGGGTTTTCCGTGATGCTACTCGCAAGTTAGCTTAGGTGTTGTGCGTACGTGTGCACATCACGCTTGCCTTTCTTAAGTCTCAGGAGTGCAGAGCGTACCCTAAATTTGGCTCTCGTCGGCTGAAACATCTCTTTGAGCCGAGACTTCAAGTTCTACAACGACTCAAACACGTATGGGTCGTGAAGCTTGAGCCCTAAGGTCCAAGTCTTTGCTCACCCTGTCAAATTTGACAGGGCGAAGGTGACTTGCATTTGTCAACCCTCGATGTGACGGGCCCTGATGGCGTCGTCTAACTCGAAGAACCATCTCAAAAGGCGATCTTCGTCCGTTACCTTACACCTTGAGATGTCATTTTTCAAGGTTTCGGGACGACGCACATGCGCCGACCTGCCCAACGACTGATAAGAACCTTACTGCTGTAGCGAGGCTAACTTCTGTCTTTCGACGGCAATATGTCTTTGTAGGAACTTGTTAGTAGATGCATGTTGCTGGTCTCTGCTTAGAGACTCCAACATGCCACTGATGTCGGGCTCGCCCATGAGCACACTCATGCTGCAGACTACCTCCCATTCTTAGTCACTCAGATGGGAGTAGCCTTCACGTGTGACGTGAAAGCTGTCGTCTTCTACGTCTAACATGTGCATGTTGAACGGACACTAAGTAGTCGTTGGACGGACTACGGAGTGCCACCAGGTGTGACGGGGCATCCTTTGCTTGGGGTGCCACGAAACTTCACGTACACTCGTACGTGCAGAGGAAGCTGATCTACTCGAACGACTCGTTTAAGAAAAGAATAAAAAGAGAACTGTATTTAATACAGTTAAGCTATCAATATAAGTTTAATCTTTACAACTATATTAAACTATGTTGCCGAATGACGCCAACCTGATCACCACCCGTTGCGCGCGTCTAGCAGCGATTGGTAATAATTTATGGTCGATACGTCTTTATCAACCATCTTTAAGCAGCGCATGAATGCTATCTACAAAGGGAAAATATTCCTTCAATATTATCCATCTTGGATAATATTGGTAGGGTATTGTCATTCTAGACAATATTCCTATTGACACCGTTTGGTGTCAATATCAATGAGAGGGCTACCCCGTTACATTCCGCCTTAATTGAATGAAGTGAGCAGACTGTGTACTTGCATGTGACAAACGTGGTGAAGACTACGATTTAACGTCTAAAGGGGGATATATCATCCTTCAGCATAAGCGACATGCCAGTTTAGTCGGCAGTGGCTCGAGACGCTCGATTTAGATAAAAGCTAAAAAGTGAGAGTGTTTATCACCGAGACGGCGATCTTTCCCTCGCATCGATGATTTAAGTAATTCCGTGGTGACGGAATACGTGTACGCGCTAAAATTTGTCAACTTATTTCCACATCGCGATCAAAACGTTGAGGTAGCAAACCGTCCTGAACTCCTAAAAAGGATAGATACAATTGAGCTCTACCATAAGAAGATCCCTTTCCACCTTAAGGCCCTCGTTACATAGCAAGTGTGCATTAATTTATAGCCGCTTATTAAGAGCTAAGCCTAAATCAGCACATGATAAACGTTTGCGGCACTTAAATTGAACCCAATTGTGCTTTGAATAATACCCGTCTATGATACAGACCGCGAATATGCCGATACCTTCCTAAGAATATTCACGCTGATCTTCCAAGGATCGTGGGGCTGAGTTCAAAATTGACCTCGTGTCAAGATTTATGTATGGCGTGATGCAGCAGCGGTCGTTACCGCGTGATCTAGTAATTGCTTTTGCTGAATATCTTTAGGGCTGCCGTACTGCAGTCTAAGTACGCGATAAAGAAAGCCACCGGTGGTCGGCGCATCGTGCATGCTGTAGACAAGCTCATAGACGCCACGATCCCGGAGCAAGCGCCGATTTCTTGTAAATTTATTAATTTAGTTTTTATGTCCGAAAGCGAAATGTGCAGAAATTGGGATCTATCCGACGAACTGAACAAGATCGCATCATAAAAAGTTTTACTCCATTAACTGAGGTCAGCACTTCAAGCGGGATTTTCTGGGCGAAATTGATTATAAAAAACCATAACGTCGGTAGAGATATCTAACATCATTCGATCGATAGTTGCAAATGTACTACGCCTGCTTTAAAATACCCTAAGTTACTGTGACGACATATTTGCTCATAGCGGCACACGTAGCTGATGCTTATTGCTTAAGAGGTACCTTATAAAAATTGGTGCATATTTTTTATTAAATTAGAAAGATTCAGCTCAAGAAAACTGTAAAAAGGCGTCTGATACGCTCACTATATCATATCACTCGGATGCTTCGTCAACGATGAAGTTATCCGCACTGATTATGAGAAGTGTCTACTGTATCTTTTATGGCCGATGCCCAGCAATTAACGGAAATAAGCCGATGGCTAGGTCTGGAAAATTACCTGCATAAATACACAAAGAATTGTGCCAAGAAAACTTAGCCTTTATCGACATTAATGAAAGAAGACGCAGCTTGTTCATGAAGATTAGAACATCAATCTGCATTTTAGTGAAATAAGCTTATCAGATACACTATTGATGACAATTTATGATAAATTCAACGCACCTGTGCGTCGTGTAAGACGAGAGTGTTTTTGAGCAGACATGTAACCTCATCCAAATTACTATAGGGCCGCGAGCAAATCGTATTGTATTTCTCAAGACAGATAAAGCCTGCTGATAGAAACTACCCGAAATATGACAAAATAAAATTATAATGCTTACGTGCTGATCAAAATCCAGAGTGTTTATTTGGTAAGATATGTAATCATTTAGAAATCGGTTACTCACTTTTGCTTACAGCTGTTGTAACAGGATAGTCCGTTACATGATATTGACCCCGTCTGGTGTCAATAGAGATATTGTCTAGCATGACAATCTCCTGCCAAAATCACCCGAGATAAATTATATTGAAGGAATATAAACCCTGACGGTAATATTCACGTGCAGCTCGAAGATTGGTTGATATTAATATATGTCAACCATAGATTACCACTAATCGCTTCTAGACGCGCTTAATGGTTGGCGAGCGGTTTGTCTTCATACGACAATGAGATTAATATAGTTAGATAAAAGATATAATTTTAATACCATCTTCCGGCACCTGTGTTGAGACACAGGCTGCGCCGAAGGTTCATCACTCGAAGAGATTGACTGGATTGAAACATGGATGCACACCAAGAGGGAAGCATCCAAGAAGAGAGATGAGTGTTGTTCAGGATGAACAACACATTGAAGCGATATCGACTAACAGAGAGTCGATCGTAGAGCGAGCCCGATCGACTAAAAGAGGGTCGATCGAAGAGGACGTGACTGTGGCTGTACACCCACAGTCAGCACACGTATTTGTAGATAGTTCCAACGTTCCTGAGAGTGATAACTCCCGAGAGAGTTATGTTGAGGGTGTGGATCCCCAACCACCTGCGGATGTGTTTTCCCAGGGAATCACCAAGACAGTGAATGTCTTGGTGAATAACGGATCAAGTGTAGGCACTTATAAACTTGACCTGGTTACACCCCCGAAGTCAGCCTCGGAGGTAATCAAGTTGCCAACGCTAGAATCTAAGAGATTCTTGCAAGATCTACGTAGTGACAAGATCAAGAAGATCTGCGTATTCGTCACCGAGGACGAGTACGTCGCCGATATTCGGTCAGCACAAGTGTTTACTGAGAACGAGCGGGTTCCCAGTAGCTCATCGATGGACGAGTGTGTCCTCAACGGATGAACTCGGATTGAGCAATACACGTCTCAATCTTGGGAGTCTTGAAGACAAATCCTTTGTATGAGGATTCGGTCGAATTCAGGGATTTTTTCCCGGAATCCGTGCCATGCGAGCTGCCAAAGGACTAAAGCACTCGGCATGAGATTGAATTGAGACCCGGAGTGAAGTACCGTGTCATGAAGCAGTGGCCACTGTCTCGTGAACAGGTCACAGCGATCGACAAGTTCTTTACCGATCGCATAGCGGCTGGTCATGTGAGGGAATCAATATCCCCACACAGCTCTCCGACCTTCTGTGTGCGAAAGGCCACAGGAGGGTGGCGGATAGTGCATGCAATTAACAAATTGAACTCTGCAACGGTACCGGATAAAACGCCGATACCGAGGAAGGACGTCATCATAGATGGTATGGCAAAAAGTACCATCTTTTCGTCCATGGATCTGATGGATGGATTCTATCAGATCCTCATGCTTGAACGGGACATCCTGTACACAGCAGTGAGCACCCAATTCGTATGCTCTGCGAGTGGCTAGTGATGCCACAGGGGCTAAGTAACGCTCCTGCAACGTTCAACGAATGCGTAACGAATCTGTTGCGATCGGTGTGCGACTTCGCACCGAGGTTTTTCGATGATGTGTTCGTCCATAGCCGGGCTATGGATGGAAAGACGGACGTGGAGGTTCATACAATCCACATCCGGAAGTTTCTTACACTTATGCGAGAGCATACGTTGTTCGCGAACATCAAGAAGCTTACCTTCGCAGCGAACGAGATACCACTTCTTGGCTGCATCGTGGGTGAAAACGGTGTACGCCCTGATCCGAAAAAGGTGAAGGCGATTAGCGACTGGCCTGTACCAGTCGACATCAAGGGACTCCGAAAGTTCCTTGGCTTGGCGGCGTACTTGCATAAGTACTCGCGCAACTACGCTGAGATGACTGTACATCTCTCTCGTCTGTTAAAGAAAAATGAGAGATGTTCATAAGGGCTTAGTGTCAGCTCTCCTTTGAAGGAATCAAGAAAAGCTTATTACAATCGCCAGTGTTGGCGATTGCGGACCAAGACAGACCATTTCATGTGGTCTTTTTTTTACGCCAGCGATTTTGCGATCGGCTGTGCGTTAATGCAGTACGACTCAGACGGCGTTAAGCACGTCGTCTGTTATCAATCGCGTCACCTGTAAGCAGCTGAGCATAATTACCCTATGCATGACAAGGAACTCCTTGCCATGAAATTTACACTGGCCAAGTTCCGGATATATCTCTTAGGAGATAGGCCCTTCATCGTTTATACCGACCATGCATCATTACGAACGGCCATAAACAGTCCACACCTCTCGCAACGAATGTCGAGGTGGCTGGCTTTCTTCGCGGAGTACAACTTCTCCGTCGACTATAAACCAGGACAACTCAATGTCGTCGCTGATGCTCTTTCACGTCGGCCCCGATTTCAAGCCGACTACCCAACTAACGGTAGGGGGGTGATCCCACTGTTGCTGCACTATCAGTGAGTGTTTCGTCGTCCAACCTGCTCGACGACGTGCGAAAAGCTTACGAGGAAGATGAGCCTCTTCTGGGGTTGATGGACAACGTGTCTAATCCATGCAGTCAAGCTTTGAAAAGCTTGTCGCCTCAATACCGCTCTTCAACCGAACGGTATTCGGTTCGTGATGGACTTCTGTACTGTACAGCAATCAACGGAGACACACCTCGTGTCGTCGTTCCCGCTCATGATAATTTGCGATTACGCATCATGTATGAGTGTCACGATGCCCCGACTAGTGAGCATCGCGGTTGAGAAAGTACTTACCCCACGGTAAGACGTGACTTCTACTGGCATCTCTAGTGTGAAATAATGCGCAAGTATGCTGGTGCTTGCGAGGTTTTCTAGCGAGTGAAGCCTAGTCCTTCATCCCGCGCACCCTTGCAGCTTCTACCGATTCTGGGAGAGTGCTGGCAGTCCATATGGATGGACTTCGTCTTTGGTTTTCTCAAAGACGCTCACAAGAAAACTGGTATTCTTGTGTTTGTTAATCCGTTCAGCAAGATGGTACATCTTGTTGCTGTACTGGAGTCGATCACAGCCCAGGGCTGTGCTCGTGTCATCATCGATACGATCTTCCGACTTCATGGGTTGCCCCGTGAACTCGTGACTGACAGGGACCCCCGCTTCACCGCGGAGTTCTGGCAATCCGTGTTCCGTTCACTCGGAACACGTTTGAAGGTGTCAGTTTTTTTTACCATTTTAAACTAGGTGGTCAGACCGCGTCCTCGAAGAGATACTTCGAGGGTATGTCCACTCGTTTACGAGTTGAAGTGAGTTCTTGCCGATGGCGGAATTTGCCATCAACATCCTGGTGCATGCGTCTACTTCGCATACACCGTTCTTCGTAAATGTCCTATGCCATCCACGTTTACCCGCCTTTTTAAAGTGTGACTCTAGTCTAACGAGTGGGGGGAGTCGCTCGAACAAAAACCGATCCGGCTCTTGCTCATGATCCGTCGAAAATGGTGTCGACGTGATATTGCCAATGTCGATGCGATCGACATCGATGATAATGACGACTATGATGGTATACTCAGCATCGTCAACGACACCCACAGTGAGGACAATGACGCCCTCACCGGTGAAGACAACGTACTTTCAGCAGTGCACACGAAGCGAACTATTGTTAACAGGGATGAATCAGCAGAAGAATTTCCGCTGACTCGCGAAGCGGTTGTCCGCTTCGTTCAAGACTCTATTGCAGATGCAGTGGATTGACAGAAAAGAAATGCGGACAAACATGGAAGAGCAAACGTTCTTTCATTCAACGAAGAGGATTTAGTTTTACCGTCTACAGTAAATCTACCGAAACACGCAGTGACGAACGTGGGCGGCAATAACTACTGCCCAAGTATATCGGTTTATTTCGTGTGTTGCGCCGTATGGGCAACGCATACACGATTGAACTGTCCCTTAAGATGCGAAGCATCCTACGTTATACGTTGGACGTCTCCGCCCGTACTATTACTACGAGCCTGCTTCGAGAGGTGAAGAACACCTCCGCGGTCAAGAGCCGAGACCACCCTCGCGTGGTCCCGTTTCAATGATTCAGTCTGGTTGACTAGAAAAGCAACCTGCTCACGCAGTTGAGCGATGTCCTAACGAGCTACAATTACGTCGTAACGAAGACAGCAAATCGAAGGTTCGTTCTTAAGTTGCGCGAACGCAAACACGGCGCGATCGTTCGAACGATTGTTGCGCTAAGGACTTGTAATCATCCTTCACGAGATCATGGAGCTCGTAACGCCGAGAATCCGCTCGTGAAGCAGATCATCGTGTAACTCTTTCTTTACACGGTTCAGTTCCTGAACATCAAGCTGATCCGACACATGAGCCGGATCAGGCGTTCCCGCCACCACCACATCCTTTGGTGGATTCTGGAGGTGGTCAACGCTCTCTAGTGGAGCGTATCTTGAACCACCGCGACGTGAATGGTGTCGGGACGAGTTAACTCATCCGCTGGCGTGGCTATCCACTGACTTGGGACAGCTGGGAGCCTCGTGCCTAGCTGATAGCTGCTGTTCTGGGTCTCTTCGAGCAATATGACGAGACCCACCCGCTGCGTTCGAAGAAGGGCCGTCGGAAACGACCTCCTCGAACGCGAATAAAGGGATTGCAAAGTGTCAATCACTAAGGCCATCTCAGAAGAAAAGCGCGCCCTTCAGTGAGGGTCATTAGGGAGGTAGGCCTCCGTAAGGGCACTACCCGAGTTGTCCAGGCAATTGGACATGGGTCGCTCCACGAGAGACAGGGTAGCTCTGCCTCTCTTGACAGTCGGTGCAACTTGTATCGCACCCCGACTGGGTTACGATTTTAAATCTGATGCGAGCTGCATCAAGTTTACCCGGGGCGGCCTCACGGCAAATGCAATTCGATGTTGAGGATGAAGGTATTCCGTCCTTGCTCCAAGGCTTTACCGTCACGACGACGGTTGCCATTACACCACCGATGTTTGAAGAACACATCGGTGAAGAACGCTTCCTCGGCACGGATATTTTCCGTGCTGGAATCAGGAGGGCGAATCTTCTTGCAATCGAATAACGGGATTCGATCCCGTTTGGTAGTCGTGCTGGCCAACCGGTTCAACTCTCTGGATGGCGGCATCTATAGAGACTCCACTTGTGGAGCGTGGCGCAGGACATTTCGGTCCCTGGCCTCTTGATTGGTGTCAGCATGAGCACTGACACCAGTAGCAGCTCGATCCCTCGTGTTACTTCGCTCATGGTGATGTTTAGACGCATCACCACCACCACCACGCGTCCTATCGTTGGATGAACTTGCGTGAGGCAACGATTCGTCGGAACAATCGCTCGGTTCGAAGATCTCGAGCATGATGCCGCCAAGTTCGCCAGAGCCTGTCAAACTGGCTCTTGAAGTGTCCGCCCCGGATGACCCGGAGGCGTGTGGTGTCGCCTTTAATTCGAAAGCATCATACGACTCGCCAGGATCGATAATCTCTATCTCATACTCATCTGCATGGCGATTCGCACTACCCGCTGCAGACGCAGTGGATGTTCCTGTCGCACGTGGTGACTCACCACGTGGACTGTTCACAACAACAGGTGACGAATCACCTGCCGCTGAGGCATGAGAAAAACTGTCTCCGGCTGCACGCATGCGTGCAGCCGCTTCTCTCGTTGCTGCAGTAGCAACTCGCATGAATTTCGAAACCATGCGTTGGATTGGCAAATGAGTGGAATTTGACCAACAAGTGCTCTCTTTCCCAGAGTGATCCATGGGTGGTCACCCAGTCCTAATCAATTCCAGTCAATCAGCGGGTGATTGACGGTTAAGGGGGGGGGTGATGTAAAGGGGTAGCCCGTTATATGATATTGTTATCAAATAATGTCAAAGGGGGTATTGTCTAGCATGACAATATCCTTCCAATATTATCCCCTTTGTAGATAGTATTTATGGCTGCTCAAAGATCGGTTGATAAAGACATATCGACCTTAGATTACTACCAATCTCTGCTGGTCGCGCGCAACGGGTGGTGACCACGTTGGCGTCATACGGCAACATAGTTTAATATAAATGTAAAAAGATTAAACTTATATTGATAGCTTAACTATATTAAATACAGCTCTCTTTTTACCCATTTCTTAAAAGAGTCGTTCGAGTAGATTAGCTTCCTCTGCACGTACAAGTGTACGTGAAGTTTCGTGGCACCCCAAGCAAATGGGTGCCCCGTTGCACTGGAGCTCCCGGTCGACCTTTGCACATGAACAAGCTTGACAACGACGTCACCACAACTTCTCAAACCGTGATACTGGACAAGTTAGATGTAAAAACTGCACTAAAAAAGTCGGTGGATGCACCTATGTCATAATACGCTCGAAGTGGTCGCTATACTTCTGTGAAGATGAGAGTTAACCTTAGCCTCGAATCGTCGCGCATAATAATGATTTATATAAGTTTTGAATGACTTGTTATATAATCCCGGGCTATCACCTTGTACCTTAGACGCTATTTCTGCCATAAAAGGCCCTGCGCCTTTTTCAACTGCTTGTTTTGTTTTCAAACAGCAACGACACAGAATTATCACGTGAGATCGATTTTTCCATTTTCACCAGCCCTAGCACTCAGAGAGGTGATGCTCAATAGACTGTCTAACTACACCAAATAAATTTTATGTTCTACCTTAAACGTCGAGGTCTAATATTTTGCCGATACCATGTGCGATATTTTTAATTATCAATTTCTATTGGCTCTAGACAATTCTTACGTGCACATTTTAAATCTGCTTGCAAATACGAAAGCGCGACCGTGTAAACTTGACATAGCGTAAGAAAAAGGTGCACAATCGAGAAAGTTTAAATTAGCACGTTTGAGAGAGTAAAGTAGGCCCTCTTACACATTAAAGACAATAGCACGAACTTGTGAAGCCATACCAATTGGCTTGGTGGCAATACTTAAAGCAAAATTGTAGTCTCTTAAGCT